TGAAAGCTTGCGATAAGAATGGCAAAGCCTTACTTTTTGGAACTACAGATTTATGGGTTTTGGTAAACCAAATTCTATTTCTTTTATCTTTACAGTCTGCCTAACAGTAAGTTTCTGAAAAGCCCACCCAACCCAACCCACTCCGCCCCGAGCGGGAAGCGGGATAAAAGGGCTTCTCAGCACTTCCATTTCGTTAGTTTCTGTTATGTATTAGCAATCATCATCGGGAAAAGATTTGATAGAGATATGTAAATAATGCATCAAAACTTGTTTGAACAATCATGGAAACAAAATATTTTTCTCTTGTGTTTTATTTCTTTAAAGAGGGAGTAAGGCTAGGGTATTCGTATTTGACTTTCACATCATCTCAGTTTTACAAATGTATGCAATAGGAAGACGGAGCCCGGCAGTCGCCCAATTTCCATCTCTCTGCTCACTTTCTGCGGATGCGGAGACGAATGCCCCATCTAGCGAGACTAGTTTTAACCAAACACAAACCGTGGAGGATCGCTTTATTGGTGTAGCCAACTACAGAGAGTTTCTTCATGATCCACAACATCTGCATATACATAGTACAGACAGTTTAACAGAATTACGCTATCGAAAGACACTGGAATCTCGAATGGGTCTTGGTGGTGGTGGTCTTATGTTTTTTCATGTCAACGATAATGTGAATAATCCACTATACCGAGATACGGAATATACGGAGGGATACGTTATCTGTCATGATGCTTTAAACCCAATGGAGGACTCTGCAGAGATAGATAATCAACACATACAACCACAATCACAACAACGTCAACAACAACACTACCCGGAAGAGTTAGGGGATCAACACATTGTTGGGAGTACTATGATGATGATGATGAATGATTTACAGGATGGATTTCACACCCCACCATCTTCACCAATGCGAAGATGTCGTGAATATCCTTTAATAGAATCAACCAAAGTTTTGGAAAATACAACTATAAACTCTCCAATAAATCCCATGATGGGAGCTCGCTCAGAAGTACGTGATGGGTATCATACCCCACTACCACACTCAAGAGTAATGGGAGTTACTACTCCAGTCAGTCGATCTCCTGGTACATATGGGGAGACGAATAGTACTCCAGGCGATCGCTCTTTCCGTGGTGATAATAACTGGAGAACTCCAATTCCACTAACGGCAACAACAACAACAACAACAATAACTGGTGGTTTTCCTACTCCTATATATGGCTCCAAATGCAATGATACGACCAGTAATTATACAGCAACCCCAAATCCAGGACGTCCCACATCTGCACTTTTAGTTCCCTCACCACAACTTCGTACACCTGTTAAACATGAGAATGATTTGTTGGGTACACCTTCTACAGGTGTTCATGGTAATAATGTTTCTCTCTCTCTTAATGGGAGTCCAGTTCCACGGCGGAGTGTATTGTACTCACGCCACACAACCCCTCGCCGTAGAACTGAAACATGTCATTGTGTGCTTAATGCAGAAGGATTATCCCTCACGGATGTGAAGGGACGACCAAACTTCAGTCCACTTTGTTGGGGTTATCTGGGTGCTATTATTGCTCTCACGAATAGTGTTTACCTTTGGCGAGAACAAAAAGGCGCAGTGACGCTCTTTCTGGCCCCACCACCATTTGGTTTTGTGAGTGCTGTCTCTGCCTCACGACACCCAACCGATACGGATGATGTCTACACGGCTATTGGATTAACCACTGGAATGACAGTGATTATTAGACATCATGTAGAGAGTGTGGGACTCACAAGAGAAACAAGACGATTTTCAGAGGTTGATTTCTCATTTGAGAAATCCGAACGAGCTGTATTTAGAGATTATGCCTCTCATATTAGTACACTACAAATCCTTGGACACCAACTCTATAGTGGTTTTATGAATGGTATATTCACCGTGCGTAATCTTCGTGATGGTTCACTACTCTGGCAGATTTCTCCATTCTCACAGTCGATTGAAAAACCATCTAATTACTCACGTATACCAGACTGTGTGGTGGATGTTGGGGCACCTATTTATAAAGCGGAGGTAACACCAGATGGAGAACATATTGCTGTTGGGACAAGTGATAGTCTCTTTGTATATCATAGTAGTTGTATTGGTCGAGAAAACCGAAAAAAGCGACGAGTTGTATTAACAAACTCCAATCGACCTGTACGTGCATTTTGTTGGTGGGGTTTCCCATATAATTGTGTGGGTAATGCTGCAATGGATTTTCATTCAACTTCCACTACAACTACAACCACCACTGCTACAACTCCCATTACTAGTAGTAGTAGTAGTAGTAGTACTGTTCCAAACGCCTCTGGTAGTACTATCAATGGGAGTGGAAGACAATGTTTTTTACAAACGGTATTGATTTATAGTGGTGGTGTAGATGGATCTATTCTCTCCGTTTACTCCGTTGGTGGTCGATCAGACAAGGCGACGTGTCGCTTCTCAGCACCTATTCTCAGCATCCTCAGCAGTGAAACCTCAGAAGAGATTTTGGTTTCCCTTGATACCCCAAACGTGGAGGCCGCAGGCGGTGTACATACAAACAATACACATCATATAAATAACACGATTGTGAATACGGAAGAGGCCCCACTGGGGGATACTGGCGGTGATGGACTCCGCGTGGACAACAACTGGAACTCCTACGATCCCTCTAGTGATGATGAGAGCCCGCAGCAGGTATTATATGTGGATCAGCATCACCCAGTGGATACAATGGCACGAAATAGCAGAAATGACCAATACCACCCACACGGCGGTGGGAATAGACAATTTCATACACTCTCGGGATTGCGATTTGCCTTTGGCACTGATATGATAACACCAACAACTATTACTACTACAACTACAACTACTAATACTAATACTAATACTACTGCACGTCCACCAATGCCACGATTGGATGCCTCACGTGGATCCACACAGGGGAAAGAGTTGTTGTTGATATTACGATTGAAGAACGGTGGAGACACACTGGAGCGGCTTAATGGGTTTACCGGTACGTTGAAGGCATCGCAGTACATGGCACTCTCACCAGACAACTCACTGCTGTTCACTACAGGGAGTGAAATGAAAATGCGGCTTTGGCGCGCTTTTAAGGCGAGAACCACAGAGAATGTAGCGCAGTGCGAGATGCGTTAATATCGCTTCCTCAGATCGACACAATCCCCCATCTTATGTATACACAGAGAGAGAGAGAGAGATAAGGAGGAAAAAGAAGGGGATTAACAATAGAAAAGCGATGGGATGGAGTGGTATATATATATATATATATATATAGGTCTCTGCATATGATGGCGAAAATAAGTGTTGGGTGAAAAAATGGATCCCTAAGAGAGAGAGAAAAAAATGACCAAATGAATTTTAATAAGAAGAGGGAGTTTGTGGGGTCAATAGTCACAAAAAAAAAATAAAAGACCCCAAAGTTATTTGCAATATTCTAGAGTATTTGAGGAAGAAAGTAGAAATATGGAAGTGAGAGTTGTTGTTTCTCCTTTTCTTTTTCTTCTGAATGTGGGCTAACGAAAAAGTAGTATCAAGTAACAAGTAGGAGAAGAATATATTATTTAAACAATTACAATTACAGAGAACATTGCGTTATATATATAATATTTTAATATTTGTACGTATGTTTTTTATTTATTTATTCCCCCTATATTCTTTTTAGTTTGTACTCATTGACTGTATTTTGCACACAGTCATAAAACATTTTCTTTTTCTTTTCCCCTCTACACCCCCTCCATGTTTATATATATATATAAACATATTTTTTTTTTAACCACGAAATTGGTGTTATGACTATTGTTATTATTATTATTATTATTACCGTCTCTCAGGCTCATCCTGGGGGTGAAGTCATGATGAAAGGAAGAGAAATAGTAAAGAGTGAGTGAAATGTGTAATATGGTGTGAATATCCAGCATTAATTGGTCTATATATATATATATATATATATATATATATATACACTTACACACACACACGTACCAACATCAAACAAGAAGAGAAAAAGGAAAGGGACAGGTCCCTTACACAGATATAATCATAGAGTAATAGGAAAGAACGGCAAAAAAAAAAAAAAAACAATAAATAAAAAAGAAAAAAAAATGTACATGAAAAGTGAGTTCGTTAATATGAGAGTGAGTGTGAAGGAGAGAAATAGCAATGAGAAGGACAACATTAACTGAAAAGATTTAAATATAAAAAAAAAAAAAGTGGCGAATTAATATACCTCATTTTAAGCCTATGAAGAGAGAGAGAGAAAAGACAAATTTACAAAAAAGTGATATTTTTTTTAAAAAAAAAAAGAAAAAAGAAAGAATACCAAACATCATCTGTATATCTATGTTTGTTATTCTTTTTTTCTTTTTTTTTTTCTCAATAAGAGACGTGATGAGTTTCTTTACAAACACCTCACCATTTATTAAGAGAATAGAGAAAAAAAAAAAGGCGATTATAATAAGGGGGTGATGGTGATATGAAGAAGTAAAAGGAAATATATATATATATATATATAAATAAAAACAAAAAGGGAAAGAATACAGTAAAACTGGTAATTAATGAAGGTGGAATAACTAGAATAAAAAGTGATGAAAGAGATGAATAAAAAGAAAAAAGTAAACAAAAAAAAAGGTAGGAAGCATAATAATAAAGGGAAAGCAATTATTATTATTATTATTATTATTATTATTATTATAAGAAGAAAATTATAATCAGAGTAAAGGGTTTCTGCTTGTAAAGAAAATCCTTCTTCTGTGATTTTGTTCTTTTTTTTCCCCTTTTTTTCTTCTTTTTGTTTATATTAATTATCACTGGCCTCCACGGACTGATGAGTGGGGGTTATTTCGTACTCTTTAAAAAGGAAATTTTTTTTTTTTTTTTTGGCTGTGGCGATAAATATAATTGTTTATTTTTTATTATTATTATTACTATTATTAGTATTAGTATTATTTGACTACTAATTTTCTATTTCTGTTGTCTTTGTGTGATGGACACAACCGGGCACAGACCACCGTTGTTTTTATTTTTATTAACTTGCCGTATTTTTATTTATTTATTTACTTATTGAACGATTTGCCAGATCCAGCGGATAATAATAATAATAGGCCTGAGCGAACTGAGCGTATCCTAGTTTATATATATATATATTGGGGGAAATGGGGATATAGAGAATTAAAATAGTCGTGTGTGTTTATATACACGCGCTTAAATAATATATATATATATATATATATATATATATATATATA